ACACGCTCAACATACACAAGAACACTATTCACAGATGTCCGAAAGCGTCTTGCCGCAGCAACCGGATTTAGCTCGCCCCATTTGCTTGGGCAGTAGATGGGAGTTTTGCAGCCAGACCCAAAACCAAGGCAAGGCACCATGGGAAGGCCAGCAGTTTTTCAGTCTCGGGGATGGCCTACTTTGGCACCAGGGTTATGTCTCACACTGGCGCATCCGGTTTGCAATTGGGTTTCCGTGGTGGCCCCCAGCCGTCCGGTTCCTTAGCTTTTTAGGCTTTTAGGTTTTAGTGGTTTCCATTTCACCCACTCAAAGTTAAGCTTGTAGCAGGGGATCAGAAAACGGGCAGCCCAGTTTCATGCAGTAGCTGCTCAGTAGCTGATGCCAAGCAGTTGGACTGTTCTTTAAACTCAACCAGCCGACAAAGGATGCCCTTCTTGTCCCATTGCCACTGGGCATCCGAGTAGCTGAGGCCAAGCAGTTGGAAACTTCGATGTTGGTTCCAGGTCACTACCGCGTGCCAGACCCGCCGGGCCTTGAGGACAGGGATTCGAGCGATCCGAGCGCGTGCCGCGTGTGCCGCCGCATCGGAGTCCTTCAAAACCACTGGTAAGCATGTATTCTAGGTCCCCCAGTAGCCCTTTTACCCCCTTTTTTGCGGGAGGGTTCCCCTGCTAAAATAGACTACAGAGAAAAAAGGATACCCTTATTCTAACCTCTCTACTGGAGGACCTAGTATTGTTTTAGTTGTTTGGGTGCTTGGAACCAACCTGGGTGCCAAATTTTGGAGGGTTCCCGGTGTTCTTGGGTTTGGGAAACCGAAAGGAACATCATCTTGGGGGTCCCGTAAAAGAAGATAACCCAGAAATGGGCAGGCTAGCCTGTTTGGAATTGTTTGGTGTCGGTTGCTTAAGCCGGTTGACCGAAGCTTCTCTCACGAACAGCTGCTCTGATTGCTTGATAGGGAATATGGAATACCTTCCATCTTTTTTAAGGGTGCATCATGGGCTTCTTCAGATTTGTTTAGATTTTTGTCTGATTTTGGGGGGGCAAGATTCAGGTGAAATGCCAGCCTTCTTTGAAACAGCCTATGATGCTCCCCAATGAACATGGTGCCTGAAAGAGAGGAGTCCACGCTGGCAGCCTCGTTCAAAGCAGGGGGATTGAACGCGTCGACATCCCGATGGCACATGGAACCTCAGAAGTTTGTCCTTTTCATCGGGGACCCGGTTCAAGCCAAGAAGCAACGTTATGGCCGGACACATGTTTCCTTGAGGCACAACAAAACGCCTCAAGTCTCATGTGTCTACACTTCCAGGGGTGCCCTCCCACCAATTAACATGGAACCTGACAGCCGGGTCCCTTTGAACGGAAAATGCTCCAAGCCAGGACCCCCCAATCAGTTTCCATGTGATCCCTTTCTGAGGTAGGGCGCCATTTCGGCGAAGCGCATCGCATCGCAGGCGCAGGAGAACTACATCGCCGTCGGCCAGCAGCTGAAGTTTCCCAGGTTTCCTCCAAAAACTTCTTGGCGTTGAAGATCCCCTTTGCCAACTGATTTGGGCATGGCTGAAAATTCAGGAGCTGGGGTTGCGGTTTAGTCGTTGGTTCCATTTACCAAGGTGCCATTTTGGAACCACTTTGTTCAGCCCGGCCATTTGGAAACAGATGAAGGCTCAACATATGCACAGGCCATGAATCCCTTGGCCGATGTTGGCATTGAGCGCAAGCAGAACTCAGTGTGAGGCGATTTCCCCCTCGTTGGCATGTTGCTTAGCTCCGGGGATCAAGAGTCCTTCCAAGACTGCAATTGAAGCCCAAAATGGCAACTGAGCCATTGGCGCGGTGGCTTCATAACTTCATCTTGGGAGTTTGCCCGTACCATGACTTTGGAAGTTTGCCCGTGGTGCGTGGTGGTACCTAGCTTGACTATTAGGTATTAAGAATCAAATTAGGACCTGGAAGTGCTCGGCAAGCGTGCTCTGAGGTTCCAACTGGAGCTTGAACGAGCCAGGGCACTTAGTCTTGGCATCATGTTTATTTGCAGCCAACCAAAGGGGAATGGGCAACGTGTGTCAGTTGTTGTTCAGACCCAACATTTAGCACCATGTTCACAATGAGCAGATTACAATTAGATGAACAGTCTTGTGAGCTTGACATCATGACGTCTAATCCAAGAATACCGTTGGCGACCTTTGCGAATGACATTTGGGGAAAGCATGGGACATGTGACTAGAGATCCGTATGCCATCAGTTTCTCAGCTCGTAGAGGCTCTTGTCTCTTGGTCGGGTGTCCAAGCTTCATGGAGACGCTGAGCCAGTGAGCATCATTGAGCTTTTTGCCAGCCCAGAGGCTCAATCTTGGCCTCAGCTGTGCCTAATTTAACGAATGTCATATGCTTAATAATATGGTATGCTTTCCCTGTTGGTTTTAAACGGAATCTATCACTACAGGAAGTATATGCGTTTTGTTTGTTTCAGGGGGCTGAAGCAAATGGAGGACAAGCGTCATGCCTGTTGACTCTCGTGGATCAATTGAGCGTAGGCACTCATATAGGCGAACTCTTTTTGTCAGACCTTGGATTTGGCCAAATTACTTAAAGTGGGTCTGAGGGGCCGAGCCATGCTCTCTCGGCCAGCGCAAATTAGATCGAGCACCAGGTTCGCTGGCGCGATTTTCCTGAGTGGCAGAGCCCTGCTCGGAAGTTTGTTCCGCGTTTTTTGCCGGGTCTCTGAAGGGAGTCCCTTTGAAATGGCACACCCCGCAAAAGAACTCAACCTGGGGTTGGTAGATTTCTGGGACGCCCCCCCAAGATGGATGGCTTCTTTTCGCGCCCGTCCAAGCAGCCCCAAACTGGTCAGTCCTTGGGGCAGTTGGGTTCGCATGGGCCCTTTTTCGCTGAGGAGCCGGCTCTACCAACCACGGCCCTTGCCCAACCTGCAGGCTCCGGAGTCCGGAGTCCGGAAGTCGCAGGCTTCCCACATGGCTGGGGGGGGGGCGTTTTCGCCCCCATTTTTTTTTGACCCGGGCTCCTTGAAAAGAAATCTCCATTTGGCCCATCCATTTGAGACATGTGGCTTTTTCAGGACCAAAGGTTGACACCATTGACAAGTTGCAAGGTTCAGGATCCCTACTTACTAGCCGGTGCTGGAACCGTTGAGCCGGCCGGGGGCAAAAAAATGTGGGGGAGCGGAGTTGTTGTTGCTTTGGTTGGAGGGGAGCCCACAGCCGGGGGTATCCAAAAAGTTGGTGTTTTTTAGAGGGAGCTACTTGTAAGGAGCTACCACAAGTCCTGTAAGGAAGAGGTAGGTTAAGCTGATCTAAAGACGGACCAAACAGAGGCTGGGTGCTAGCCAGTGTGTTGCTGTTCTCTTCTGGGGCACCGATGGGCTTGCACAGGCTTCCTTTCCAAAACGGCATGTAAGTCTTCCAAAGCAGGTCTTTGCGCATGGAGGGGCTGCGCAGCTTTTGTTCCACGTACATGCTTGCCAGAAACTTGCCCTCCAACTTTCCACTAGGTTCGTGGTGCCCTTGCGGGTTCTTGTGTGGACTTGAGGTGCGCCCAGCCTAGAAGGGCCCTCTTGGGAAGCATGTTGCAAAGCTGCACTCGACGCATTGAGCCCTAGACATTGATGAAGTTGCAGCTTGGGCTGATAGGTTTCAATAGCGCTGAGTGACCACTGAGTCGAAACCAACAGGTTCTACGGGCGGTGTAGAACTACCACCCAGCAAAGCTCCTAGCCCATCCATGGAAAGATGATGGAGGTTGCCTGATTTCAGTGGCTCACCTCGTCCGCGTCAGGCTGTTCTGCCCAGGTCTCAGCATCGCGACACGTACAGTGCGCCGGGTTGATCCCCAGCAACTGTGATACTGTAGTATGACATACTTTCACATGGCCTCCCTTTTTCTGCCCCATTTGCTTGTTCCTCGTCTCACTTCCTTGACTTTCTTGACTTTAAACTTTTTGGGAAGATCATTGATTTTGGTTTGGTCACTTATTTGGGTTCCCATTGTTTGCCGTTTTTGGCTCCCGTTTGGATCCCATAAATAGACCGTTGGGTTCCCGTTTTTCTTTGCCATCCACTCAGGCGAGTCTTCCGCGATGCGATCCGGAGATGTTCCAATGCCAAAGCTGTTGTTCGATGGGCTTAGGAGTGGTTACCTGGTGCTCTGGACCCGGTTTAAAATGGTGCCCAGAACCATGCGCCAGAGATTTTCTTGCATTTCTATTGAGCTTCGATCAGGTCGACTTCCGGTTAGGGGACATCCACTCTGCAGTTTTGTGCGTGGCTGAATGCCTGGAAATTACGAACTCGTCTTGCATGCAGCTGCTTGCACATCCAAGGCAACTCGTGTCACAAAGAAAGGGGGTCGTTTGCAACAACCATTCACAGGATTTGCCTCATTTGTTGCTGTTGTGACCGTCGAAAGTAGCCGGTTGTTTTTTGTTGTTGTTTTTATGGGAAGCTACCAGAGAATTGTAGCCCTTAGGAAATCAAGCCCGGCTCTGACCGTTTGACTTCCCTTTTGAGGGTTTTCAGTCAAAAAGCAAAGGAATCAACCTATCTTCTCCTGCTGGTGAAATGAAACGACCCGGACCTAAACCATCCAACTGGTAGCTTCCTTCCTTCGGGAATCCATGGGTTCATTCCCACCACCCGGACTCGTTGTCATTCCCTACTGAGGTGTGTCTTCTGAGGGTACCCTCTTGCCAACAATCATGAAAGTGGACAGCGGGGTGTCTCCAAAAGGGAAGCGTTCATCTTCCAAAGCCCTCCTGTTAGCTTCAAGTCTCTTAACCAGGTGAGCCACAATCAAAACCCGGGGACAATCCCAACCATAAATAGCTGCGGCCATCTTCTTAATTCTTTACATGGTTCTGGGTCGACCATAAATGGTTCTGGGTCGACTATTTTTATACCGGGTTTTGATTTTGACTCAGGTCCTGCTCTCTTTCGGGTCTGCGTAAGGCCTGCGGTGGCAATTCCGGCAACCGCTTCCATGGAGCAACGGGAGAAGCCGCAACTCGCCTGGACTGTTCGGGCGGTGGGAGGGCTGTCCTGGTCTGAAGCGATTTTCCGTAAGGTATAAATGTGGACCCTAGAAAGCATATGAATATCGATTTTGCACCACCGTCCAGAGACCATGCTTTCTGCTGACTCCCCTGTAAATATCAACGAACAATGGGTTTCAACCATGGTTTCGAAGTGGTGCGAAATGGATTTCGTCCATCTCCAATCGATCATAGGACGTGGATATTATTTTTCCGTGCCCATGTCACAAGGCCCCCGATCCACTTCCCAAGAGTTGAAGCGAGATGCCTGCTTGGCACAAAGGCCACCTAAAAAAATGCACCACGATGACAGCAGCGCAACGGGTGAGCCCCTCTTTTTCCCGCGCGGTGAGCCAGCTCAGGGCGCGCTTGGCAGCGCGCACTTGGGGCATGTCGCATGCTTCGCGGCAATGTGCGGCTTACAGAGATGCGTTCCAGGAAGAACGATGAATCCCTACTGGGATGAAGCAACTACATGTAACAGTTCTTGTGAACAACGCACCATGTTGCTGCTGTCTGTCAGGTCAATGAATCCCCTGCGTAGCGCCGTGGATGGACGAAATCGAAACCCTGGTTTCAGTCGACTCCCCTGTAAATGCCAACAATGGGTTTCAACCATAGTTACAAAGTGGTGCGAACGGATCCACTTTCATCTCAATGTTGAGCTCTTGCAGCGTCCAGGGGGCCACGATGGCCCATGTCTGCGGATCCGCAACCAACATGACTTCCATGGGAACGACGGGCGTGCTAGGGGGATCGGCTGTGGGGCCATTTCCATTCGCTGCACGTTTGGCTCAATGGGCTTCTGGTCATGCCGGATGTCACGTTTGGTTGGACATTCATGCGTGCGTGTGTGTCTATGTTTATTTGCGGGTGCGGGTGGAATCTTTTTGTGTTGAGGGTTTCCTTTCCTGCAGGTTGGTTTCAAGGGAGCCAGGACCAACAAGGGAACCCACCCCCCAATTTCCACTCATACCCATGTGCGTATGTCCTTTTTTGAGGGTGCCCTTTTTGATTAGGCTTAAAGGGGAACCAAAAGGATTTGGGTGGGTCCCCGAATATGAACCCACACACCTCAAAAGAAAGAACATACCCATGTGCCGCCATGGCATATGCAAGTAAAGCCCTTTTTGTGGTTGCCTTTAAAGGGAAACCGGCCATTTTTGTGCGGTCCCCAATTCTCGCTTCCTGACCGCACGGACTTAAAGCTTTTTGGGGAAGAGCATTTTGGCAACACTTTGTTCAACAATTTTGGCCAGTCCACTCAGGAAGTGAGAAAACCCAACACACCCATGTTTTTTTTTGTTTTTTCGCTTTTTCCCGTTGGGCGAAGCTTCAGGCAGGGCGTGGTGGCTACGAGAGACCCCCTGCATCCGCAGCAATCGGCGCGACACCCGGAGATTTAGATGTGACTTCCCTTGCTTTCATTTGCTTAAGAATATTGGTTGTTTCCCCGGTTGGTTTTAAAGGGAATCTATCACTACTGGAAATATTGTTTGTTTTTTCCAGGGGTCTCAACCAAATGGAAGTTTGGGCGTTTCACCATGCACAGGGTTTTGGCCTTAAGCGGGAAGCCTTGTCGCTTTTCTCCTGGCCACTGGGTGAGAGTCCGAAACTCCGTGTGCGATTCAGAATGTCAGCCTTCCTCCAATTGGTGGTTTGGAGCCCGGTGGTTTGGTGATTGAGGGTAGTCTCGCAATATTTGGAATTTCCCCCCTGCTGGCTCTAAACGGGATGTGTCACTACTGGATTGCTTCTTGTTTTTCGTTGTTTTTCTTCTTTTTTTCCAGGGGACACGAGCAAGTGGAGGTTCTTGGTGGTTCCCAGCCATCCGGTTCCTGGAGGTTTATTGACTTAGAGATTGGGTTTCCATTTGACCCAGAAGTTGGTCTCTTTGAGCAGGGGATCGGTTTGGACAGCCCGGGCTTTTGGAAGGTTCAGACGAGGCAAAATTGACCCAAAAGGACCACCGGCCCTAAAAAGGTTGCAACTGACGGATTCCAGCTTGCAAAGGACAATCTGCCATCGCGCGCTTCGCTGTATTTGTTTGTTGCAGGAGGTGCGTGCCTCAAGCTGAATGAAATCACCCATGAAGTGTAGGCACATGTGCCATGGTCAAAAGACACCTTGGGGTCAACGTTGGGACGGTCATCTTGATTAGGATCCTTAAGAGCCATTCTAATGATTCCCATCGGAGCCAGGATCCATTCGAGCATGGCACACGTCTAGAAGTCGGTTTGGATGCGCTTTTCGCGGATGTTTTTTCGGTTCTTTTCCCTGTAGCTTCTCTGCTTTCTTTCCTAGAGGGGTGGATTCCACAAAAAAAACGCATTCCACCCGTCACCCCCAGGATGGGGCTCGGGGTTTTGCCTTGGCATCGGCCGAATCCAAAGGCGCCGGTGCTGTGGTTCGTGCAGCACTGCTGGCTGCTCACCTGGGCGGCCTACTTGCCAGATCGCCCGAGGCTCCAGATGTAGTACTTAAGGACCCCGGATGAATAAACCCCGGTTCATGCATATGGCTGTGGATCAAAAACGGGTACCCAACATGGAACCCTGGTAAATGGAATCCATGACTAAAGGCGGTCCCCTGGTGGTTAACATCGACCCACACCCATATGGGGGTGTCCCTGGCTTTGAGTGGGGGATTCATTCACTTTTGGAGGGGTTGAACACCCCCATATTAATAAACCGGGGGCCGACCATGTTCTTGCGATCGGTGCGCAGGGAATGAGGGAATGAACCCAGGGGCCCCCTTTGGGAAACCACGCGGTCTGGTTTATAGGGGTCATTCCCTCATTCCCTGCAGAGCACCCGTTTTGGGATTTTTGTGCAAATCCACTTTGGCTTAGACGATTTTGGCCCTGTGGCTATTTGAGAATGGGTCTTGGGACTTTAATTTTTCCAAATTGGACCCACAAAAAGTTGAGCTTTTTGCAGAGGGGTCTCGCCAGGGGCGGCAACCAACAAGTGCAGTTACTTTTTTGGACCAATCCACTCGATCGGAAGAGCATCTCGGTTTTGTACTGCAACTTGCAGACGGGCATGGGCCCTTTTTTCGACGGCATGGGGGATGAAGCCGGCTCCCTTTCTATCACAGAACTCCGAAGGCCGGTTTTAACAAGGCGAATTCAAATCCACTGTTCCCTGTAAGAGGCCCTCCAACGGTAAGGAGCGCCAGTCGTTAGGCCAGCAAAAGCGGGCCAAACTCCCATGGAATTCTGTCCCTGTCTTCTCCCACTGCTCAGGCCAACAAAAAGTGATTGATTTGGGGCTTGCGACATTGATGCAACTTGCCCTGGGCTGAAGACCGCAGCGTTTCTCGGACAAGCCACGGCAGGGGTTTTGCTTATCAGATTCCTTACAGTGGATCAAATCGACAAAGCGCACCAGTCGAGATGGATAAAATCCCACATTTTGTGGGATAAACCACTTGACCTGTGCCGGATTTCGTCCATCCACTGAAAAAATCGTCCGGCTGAATTGCAGTTTTGCCAACCAGATCCTTTGCCAATGCAACTCCATGAGCTGAAATATCTATCGATCGAGGCCCCGAGCGGACAGAGCTGCAATGGGCGAAGATGGACCTTTGCAGGGGGCCCAAAAGGTCAGTCCTGGAGTTGCGGAGCTTTGGTTTGGGCTTGGATCATGGGCAACAAAAAAATATTGGACTTTTGGCGGCCAAATCCACTCACAGCAGTGGAGGCTTCTCTCTTGTTGGAGTTGCCACGTTTTTTCAACTTGGCTCAAAAGCAAGTCAAAGGAAAACCATGACGTTGGAAAATCCCACGCACGTTTCGAAGCATGCAAGAATTTACAAGACTTGAGGCTTCAGCGATGCTGCATGAACTGATCTCAAGATGGATCGACTCCTAGGTGTTCGCCACGCTCCATTTCACGGAGGCTTCAGAGTTCGACAGTTTGATCAACCAGTACCCATTGGCCATGTCAGATATCCTCCCGTCCATGAGCATCCCTTTCAAAAGAAGATAGTCTTCCAGCACCCCTCAATCAGGTTTAGAGTGGTAGGGCATGGCACGGCCAGATTTCCCCCGACTCTGGAGTCGGAGTTTTTCGGTGCTTTCCTGCACCCACGCGGTGGATTCTATCGAAAAGGGCCCTCTCACACCGAGGCACAGGGACTAGCAGACATGCATCCCACAGGATGCTTCTGGACGATACGGCCAAGAGGGTGACAAGAAGGTTCTTTCAGCAAGTTGTTTGTTTGTGCCTTTGACCCAGTGCTGGCCTAAACACTGTATATTTGCTGGACGAATGTCGGGCCGACAGCGGCTGAATTGCATGGTTTCCAATTCGCGTGCTGCCCGGTTGATGGTTCATGGCATCACTGCCCTGCTGGTTTCTTGTTAGTTGCAGAAGTCAGTTCCGATGTGAGCTTACAGGCAAACAGGGCGTTTCACCAGGCGGCTTCTCAAAGGAAGTCATGATATTCGCACATGGCAATGCATCACGGACCTCTAACTTGCTGAGTTTCGAGAAGACGTCATGTGCATATGTAAATACATTGATTCCATGTATGCATGCAAATACGTGGGGAACCCGGGCTTGTGTGGCGGTGGTTCGCGCTGATTTCGGCCAGCCTTCGCTCCTGAACGGCCATCTGAGGCTTGGCGGTGCTGCACAAGAACGGCGACCGCGTGGATATGCCTGCGACTCGAGCTGCGCTGCGATCTGGCCAGGAGTACCTCAGCACCCAATGAATATTAGGTCCCCCAGCTAGGTGCCCTGCTCTCTCCTTTTTTGGTTGGGAGGGTTCCCCTGTAGACAGAAAAAAAAGTTAGCACCCTTATTCTAACCTCTCTACTCGAGGACCTAGAATATATATATATATATATGCATATGTATAGCTGGGCAGATCATAAGGAGCTGACCTGTGGGGGGCAAGCTCACCTAATGGTCCCTTCTGTGGAATTTCTTAGTTCCAACTTGTGGATCATGATGCATATTTATTGTAATACACATGACATGTTGCCCAGATGTGTAGGACCAGTGACCCCCAATGAAGAGACACTTCAAGTGACACTTCGCCATACACTTTCCGTTTGGGGTGCTTAAAGGGCTTAGCTAAGTCGCGTACGGAAGAAACAAAAAGCGCTTGTTTTAGTTGGGGGTGGGATCCATAACCAACGCCCTCCCGATTGCGAGGGGGGGGGGGGGGCTTGCTGGGCTTTGACACTTTGGCCTCCTCAAGGTGTTTCTTGCCTGGAATGATTCGATTTCCCGATTTCCCTGTAAATACGAACAAACAATGGTTTCCCATGATCTCAAAGTGGTGCAGGATTTCGTCCATCCACAATATGCGTTAGTTTAGTTCTAATATAGATGGCACTGGTTTCGGTTGGCTTGATTCCGTTTCCCAAGGGCCATCGATTTTCCCCCCCGTGCCAAGGCTTCCATCTATGGTCACAGGCACTTGCCGCCCTTACGCGCCGGAAGGTTGGCTCTTTGCACCGTCGCAGGTCAATCGGTTGGCCTCCGGGCCCCTTGGGCCGCTTGGGGGCCATTTCTGAGTCCTTGACTCGAAAAAAGCCCAGCCGCACGCCGGCCACGTGATGCCAACATCTTGGGCTGTAGCAAGCAGGTGTGCCGCGTTCGGCTCAGAATCTTAGGGGCCGAACCAATGGCAGGACATGAGACTCCGATTTGTGCCAAGTGCCAAGAGCCTGGCGAAGTGTCAGCAGCCCCCACCCCCATTAAAAGTGGAATTGGGGGAGGGCGACCCCTGGAGTCACCTGGAGTTCAATTTATGGTTCCATTTTCCAAAATGGAGTTGGGAGACCCCCCACCCCCTCCCCCTTGTGCTACGGGGATCTTAGGGCATAGATTGGCCTATGCCCAAAAAGCCGCTCTCCGCAGAGTTGTTGCCTTCCTACAAGTTGTCCATTGCGATCCGTTGCACCGCTGGGATCGCTCGGGATGCGCAATGACCGGAATTCCTTCCCATGTAGTTTTCCAAGTTGACATGAAAATTATTGTCATTTAGTCACCTGTTCTTTTGATTTTGGTGTACATAAACATTAATCCACACAATTAAACATGATTGTAAAATTGAAATCAACGCTGAAAAACTGTTCCTGTCAAGTTACAAGGATATGTCACATTTCATGTACCGGTGGTTTGGGGATTTGAACCCCTGATTCTTGTAGAGGGCAATTAATTTTGGAAGCTATCTCCTGGCATCACCAACTAGAGGGAAGCTGAAGATGTCTAGAACTCTAGTAAAGATTTAACACTAAACATCAAGCAAATATGCTGTTTTTACAACAAGGTATACAGTTCTGCTCGTTCATCATAATATGTTGTTCATACATCTAGGTATCCCAGTAGTGCCCTTTTGGCCTTTTTTGCGGGAGGGTTCCTCTCCTAAAATAGACTACAGAAAAAAGGGGTACCCTTATTCTAACACCTCTCTACTGGAGGACCTAGTTGACCATAACCAATAGTCCATGTTTCCATTTAACCGGATTCCATTTGGGTTGCCTTTTCTTGACCCACACCCATATGTTGTTTGTACAGGGCTCCTCTGGGCTCCTTAGATACATGTTGCCCATTTAAAACATAACTTGTTCCACCAAAGTACAGGTTGACACCATTGACAAGTTGCAATGTTCGATCGGTGTTTTTCATGCATCCGGATCCCTGATGTAGCATTTGGGGAAGCTACTTTTTACCCACACCCAGCTATTTTTGACACGCCCACGCCCGCAGATCTTGACCTTTTCCCCACCTCGAGGCCGCCGCCCCACGACCTGGCGTTGAGCTTGTTGGCCCCTGGGCTCACTCCGCCGGGAGGGGGCCGCTCATGGAGTCTGCCGGGTTTTTTTGTTGTTGGTGCCCCGCAAAATGGGTTGGTTCAAAAAGAGCAGTTGAAGGGAAACCACCATCTGTTGGGGGGGTGCTCAAGCTTCTTTATTTTTTTGAGTTGGTACCCATACTGTGGATGGTTGCGGTTTCCGCTTCAAAGCCACGAACGAAACTATAGGAGACCATTGTCATGTGAACAGGGATGCGGTTCACAGCCTTGCGCCCGGGGAATTTCCCCCTTCTCGCCGATTTGTCCAGATGAACTCGGCCATGGCCATGGCCTTGAGGCATGGCAGGTGTGTCTTGAACGTGGCAATTTGGGTTGGCTTTATGGGAAATGAGGGGGAAACCACTCAAGTCTGGGTGGACCTTTTTTTCCCCGATTTGTTTTTGGGGGTTGGCTTGATAAGAAGCAGGGGAACCCACTCAATGTTGGGGGATTCCAATTTGAATCCCCCGATTTTGAGACAAAGCCACGTGATCCTTGCAACATCGCGAGGATTTCGCTGGAGCTGGTTCAGTTGCTTTTGCGCCAAAGGAGCTTACCGGGTGGCAAGTTTTGACAGTGGATGGTTGCATCTGAAGTTCCTGGATGTGCCGATGAGCTTTGATTCGGAAACCCTCAGGTCCTGCCCTCCCCGGAAAGGAAGGTATCCCACCAACGTCAGCCAGTTGTGTTCTTTGTGGGCAGCCTGAACAGTAATCCTTGCCTGCATTCCCGGATGCACCACTTGTGTAAGTAATTCTGTGCAAAACAGCACGCCTCATGTTGGTCGATTTGGCTGTGCAAACTATGTAAGTAGTAGTGCGACACAACACGCCTCACGTTGGTGCATGTTGCTGCGCAAACCGCCTCATGTTGGTCGATTTTGCCTTGCAAGCCGGTTTATTTGTGGTCCGCTTTGGGACACCCCCAACTGGGGACCCCTCGCCGGGTCGCGGCTTCGCTTTGAGGCGGCGGCTTGTGCGCGATGCGGTGCGCAGCGGGTGGCCAGAAGCCCAGCGCCCGAAGCCGACGGTAGTGGAAAAAAACCCGTGCTAGTAATACGGTGGATGGATGCGAAATCCATTTCGCACCACTTTCATAAACCATGTGAAACAACTATTGCAATCCATGTGAAACAGCTACTTGTTGGCATTTGCAGGGGATCGTATCATTCTAGGGGATTCTTTTGTCCATCCACGGTAGGGGGTGTGTTCCCCTTCAAAAGTGATAATTGCCCACTATGAATAAGACGGATGAAGCTGGGGTCAACATAAACCACCGGAGCAGAAAAATGGCGTCCCATGTACCAAGGACTAGGGGTAGTTGTGTGCAACCAATCCAAACCACCATTGGTGGGTTTAATGTATCTACAAGGACGAGGGGCACCCAATTCACCAATTGGATTGGGGTCACCTTTGGGTGCCGATGAGTGAAGTCTTCCTTTCACAGCCCTGCGAGCCGCCAGTTCCGGACATGTGTTTTTTATGCACAACCTTCTGAGTGGTGGCTTCTTGGGAAACCGGGAGGCAAAAGTAAGTGACCTCTCAATGTTCACTTCAAGTGACCCAGATCCGTAACATCCTCCTAAATCCTCTCCAGCTACATATGTGTTTTCTTCGGCTTTCTTTGATCCGGTTGTCCTTAGTTGGTGGTTTGGATTGGTGTTTTGGAGGTTGTGGTGCGGTTTCCCATTTGCCCTCTACAAAGAAGAGGTTCAAATCCCCAAGCCACCAATCCCAACCACCAAGAAGGTGTTACCTGACGCCTGACTTTGACTACTCAGGGGTAGATGCACAGAAGCATCCAACCTGTACCCTGAATCTAACTCCAGGGTGACGCTGCACGCGGGGCACTTGGATAGGTTTCTTGAATTTGGGATCTGACTCAGTGTGGAAAACGTAAGTCGAACCATCGTGTGGGCGTTCTGTTTTGGAAGTTTGCAACTCAAAAGCTCCAGGAACGGAGCCCCCCATTGGCAGAAAAAGCAGTGAGCATGATTCTTGGGGAATCAGTTCTCAATCCGTTGCTTCCCATCGCACATCCTAAAAAACACGAGTTGAGTCCATCTTCTTTGCATAGAATCGACATGAACTGTGTACCGAGCGCCAAGCTCAAAGCAGCACTTGCTTCCAGCGAAGGCTGGACCAAAACCTGCCACAAATCACTGGAAGCACCTCTGGAACATCAACTCCGAGTGGGACTATAACCGGCCCCGAACCCCCCCCCCCCCCGCTTCTCTCCCCCCGGCGGCTCAGCCATCCGAGGACTTGGCGCGACGGCTCTTCGCCTGGATGAAGGCCAGGCAACTGGGGGCCGCAGCCCCAGAGCACGGCTTGCCTCATTCGGCTCATTCGGCTCGCCGGGCAGTCCCTTTTTTTTTTGTCGGAGGCCATGCCCGTTTTTTGTGTGTCCTCTTCTTTTTGTTTCCCCGTTCCTTTTCTTGTTTTTTTCTGTGGGAAACAACAAATAATCCTTTCGGGGGGTACCCGAGCAGAGAAAGTTGGAGCTGACGCACCCCATGTTCCAACCTTTGGGTTGTTGGCTCTTGTTTTTCTCTGAAGCCGGGAGAAAAACAAGAAAACATTCGATGCGCTTTGGAGCCCGCAGCTTGCGATTTCTGAGGGCTTTGGGGGGGTCCGGGGCGGTTGGGGATGCCGCCTTGCTTGTTCAAGTTTGGGGCTTGGGGGGGGGAAGGGGAGGAGGTGGGAACAAACATGTTGTTTTTGCATTGTCGATGGGAGGGTTTGTGGGGGGGGGTGGATGTTCTCTTCAGGTTTTAGGTGTTGGTCGAGCTGGCAAGCCCTGGCAGAGTCCGCTTGCAACCCAGTGGTTCCATTCAGCTGTATATGTAGCCACAGGAACCAGCCTCCAAACATCAAAAGAAAATGGCTGGTTGCCTACTGCAGTTGGAGCTGCGATCCGCTGGCTGAGTGTTGGAAGGTTGGCAAGAGGCGGAAGATCAAGGTATGAGTGAAAGTTAAACCACCAGACCGCGAGTTGTCCACGTTGCCAGGCTTCACTTTGTAGGTACCAAACATCTTGAATGCGCCGCTCCTCGTTCGAAACGGAGCTGAGCCGACAATGCTTCTAAGTGCAGAGTCTTGGAGTTGCTTGTAGCTTAGTGCCTTCCTGGGCCTTACTGGCCCGCAGCCACGCACACCCCTGCGCAGTGCTTCCAGTGAGAGGAGAATGAGAAGAGACGGCCTCGGTTTGCTGCACCATGGCTCGCTAGTTTACGAATTGACATGCTGCGTTGATTGGCACGATCATTTTGGCATGTTAGATTGGTCTGAGTTCCCAGAGCGTTCTTTCTGGGCCGCTTTGCAACTGCAGAGTTCCTTGGCCATTTGCCGCCTGAGAAGACTGATTGGGCGGAGAAATGCTGAGAATGGATTTCCCTAGTTGTTCGGCATTGGCTTCAACTACGATGGCAAGAGAGGATGCCTTGTTGTCATGGGGCCATAGGACCCCCAACGCCAGCTGCCCCAAGACATGCTCCCTGCGGCGCCATGCGCCTCGCGCCCTGCAGCCCCCACCTCGATCCGGGCGCCGCCGGCGTCGCTGCGGGCGCCGGCGGAGTTCCAACGCCCGGCCGCGGCGGCGGCGCTGGCAGCGTTCCTCGCGCACGCGGCGCGCCAGACGCCGCGGAGTGCGCGGAGTGCGCGGAGTGCGCGGGCTGGGAGCCCGCAGCCTGGGCGGCTCGGCCCTGTTTCGGAAGCCAAGAGAGCTGGTGCCTGGAAAACAATTACATAGCCACCTCACTTCCTGAGTTCATGGACTGTTTAAACTTTTCTGGAGAAAAAGTTCAGACTTGTTTTGGCTCCTCCAATCAATTAGTGAGGCCAGGGCACAAGCAAGCGAAACGACATCGCGAGAATGGTGGATGTGGCATACGGTTGTTCAGTGGGTTCGGGACCGAATTCGGGTTGACACAGGGTTGCTTTTCAGATTTGTATAAGACCTTGGCAGTTCTGGTTGGCCTGGGCAACCTTGTGTCAAAAGCTTGTGATTATGTGTCTGAGTGATTGTCATTGACGTGCCCAGCTTGGGGAGGCTCAAATACTTGAGGCTGTGCGCAAGGGTCCGAACGTCCCAGAGTCCAGAAATACTTCAACCATTCGTGCTCCCCATTTCCGAGACCTTGTCTTGGAGGTAACCAAGGGAGCCAGCCTTTCACACCTCAACAGGGCCAAAATGGGCGTGGCTCAAAATTCAACAGCTAGGGCCGCGCATTTGCCAGTCTTTGGTCCCATGGACCCAGGCAACCCATTTGGGGTGAGTCGCCCGCCAAGTGGCTGGCGACCCTTGGGCGATCTCTGGGATCGGACGAAAACCGGGCCGTTCGATCGAGGAAGGGCTTCGAGGTGAGAGAGGCGAGCGAGAAGGAGCAGAAGAAGCCTTCCCGAACCAGACAGATTGGGCCAGGGGAAGGAAACAGGGGGGGGGGGTTGGGGTTGGGGTGTTTGGGGGGGTTGGGGGGAGAGCTTGCCGGACTCTGAAAGAATCTGAGGGCAAAAACGGTGCCCTCCAGCCACTGCAAGGGTACTCCGTGGTCATGCTTGTTTAGGGTTGGTACCCCAACAAATCGCAAGGGCGAAACCTTTTGGTTTCCCTTTACCACCAACCAAAACGGGGTACCAACTCCAAAAAAGGAGCCACGCCCATTGTTTGCAACACGGGAAGAAGTGCAAGGGACATGTTCAAGGGTTACAGGGCAGGATGCTGGGGCTTGGGTCTCCGGACCTTCTTTCCCTACAAAACAACACCCTCCCCCGCACATATGTCCTTATAAACACTCAAACCCCCTCCAATACTGGACCCCCATATTCCCTTCTTTCGGGTATGATGTCACATGATCTCTTGAAACAGGTCTCTTGGCTGGAATCACGTACATCTGCTTCTCAAGTGGGCCGAACCCTGAGAGCTGCCTTGGGAAGATTCAAGGGGCCCGGGTCCCAGATCAAATATCTACCCGGATCCCAGTGGCCACTTTAGGCAACTCATTTTCCCTTTGACTTTTGGGGAGGCTGGCAAGCCCTTGGTGAGCTTTACAGCTTCTCTGGAGGCACTGAGGCACAAGGACCCATGGGAGCCACGGGATTTGGTCAAGGAGTACGAGGACGAGAAGGCCGCTGAGGAGGCGGAGAGGATCCAGGAGTTAGCCTCGCACCCGGAGGCGAATGAGTGACCCCTGCATGTTCCGATGTTATGACGCGCCATTTACCGAGCTTATGACGCGCATGTCATGACTTGGTCCTTCGCTGGATCCAAGTCTTGGTTCAGCGTTTGGACATATTTCGTAGAAAACTGGCAGATGCATCTTCTTGGCTCCCTGGTGAAGTGGGGAGCCTGGGATCCGAGAATTTGCTAAGAGGGAGCTACGAGGAGTTCTGGTGATCGGCACATGGTAGGCTGGTTTCAAAAGTCACTGGATTTCCCCAAATCAAAAGTTGATCAATTTCCTGGTCCGTTGAACCGATCGCCACTTTGGAGGATCCAAAAGGGGAAATGTGTCCTGTTTGTTCGAATCAACGTCCAAGTTCGTAAAGAGAAGTTGCCAATCCTAAAACCTAATTAGGGATGGTAGGAACAGGCACCACATTTGCGAGGCACCCGCGACCCAAATCTCGAGGACACCAACAAAACGGCAAGGAGCAATCAAAAGTACGGCAACTGAACTGCCCAGACCAGCGGCAGAAAAGCGTTTGCAATAATCTCTACGTAAGCCTTCCCTTTTCCACGATTTGAACTAGTGAACTCGTGACCAGCCGACCATCCGAGATTTCACCTGATTCTAAGTGTGGGTTCCAAAGAATATGAGGCCTTATTGTGGCTGGCTGGCATGATCGAAGTAGCAGGACATAGATTGCCATCTCATCATACCGAACAAAAGAGCCAAGTGTCTGACGTTGGGTAAAATCCTGACTTCCTGCACATTTCGCCCTTTGAGTTGTTTATGTTTGCAGTTGCTTGCAAGGGTTGGGCAAACTTGGCTTCACACGACCATGGCCGCCAAAAAGAGTTGTGGAAGCGAAAAACATGTTGTTTCAACAATAGTGGCGTAGTATGGCTGTGTTTCAGGGACCATGCTGTTCTTTTGGTTTCCCTGTAGAAACACCAACAAAAGGTACCCTCCAAAAAGAAGTCCCTCCAAAAAACACGAGAAAAGGGTCCCTCCAAAAAAGAAAGACACCACCCATATGAAGAAAGCCGTAAAGGCTTGGCTGGCCCTCGACTCGTTTGCAGGGTCCCAGCGGCACAGCCTTGGCGCGGCTGCATGTGTGGGCAAGGTCGCAGAGGACGGCCAGCGTGCGTCTCCTCAGAATGGGGGTTTAGATTCCCTCTGGTGGGTGTGGTCGGTTTGGTCTGGGCGAACCAGGGCTTCAAAGCTTCATAACTTCAAAGCTTCACACACGGGGAAAGGTTTGTAGTTTTTCTCGCGTTTGGTTTGGTGCCGGGTGGAAGTTCGGGCCTACGACCAGCGCTTCAAATCCAGATCCACCAATCCAAATTAATTGCGGGCAGCTGAGATAGGAGAACAAAAAGGCTCTCCATTTTCATGGGCAAAGGGTAGTTATTTTGTTCATCCAGCTCGCCGTTGCTACTAGCAGGTGTTGAGGGGAACAGCTGGGTCAAGTGCTTGCGGCGCCCTTGGAACTCCAAAGGGATGCCCAAGTACGCCGAAGCCTTGTAGAAAGAAACAGGTACGACTCATTTATAATAATTTACTATTATACTTGTAGTGCCATGCAGCTTGACAAGGCACATTCCGTTTTCAGCGCCGCAACCAACTCCGCGACAGCGCTGTCTCGGTCGCTCGCGGTGGGAAGAAGCCCCTCTTCGATGGCACGCAGAACCCAGTCGTAACTCAGCAGTGCTTAAGCCTTCGCCCATAGTGGTGGAGCTGTCGTTGTCTCGGTCGCTCGTGTTGGAAAGAAGCCCCTCTTCGATGGCACGCAGAACCCAGACGTAACTCAGCAGTGCTTAAGCCTTCGCCCAGTGGAGGCTGTTTCGGCTTCTTGCATCAAGGGTTTTCCTACTACACCCTGGGACTACGCCTTTTGGGGAATCACCCTATTCAAGGCGATGTCCAGATAAAACCTGATTGCATTGTTTTATTTAGAGTTATTTTCGGTAGTTTCCCTAGGGTGTAATCCCAGGGTGTATTAGACAAATCCTTAGATTGCAGGACACGGCTGGCGCGAAAGCGCGCGCTTTGGCACTTTGAGGTCGGAGGTGTTTTCCGAGCCGACTTGGCCATGGCGATGCTCTCACCTCAGAGCCCCCGGAGAAGCAAGCTACCATAATGCCT